CTCCCAGAATTCCCCAGACAGCATGCTGGCTGGGGAGTTCTGGGAGTTGAAGCCCACACATCTTAAAGTGGCCAAGGTTGAGGAACCCTGTTCTAGGAGATGCTGTAATTCTCTGACGATGTGTCTCCTATGTCTTTTTAGATTCCTGGTCTATACTCCTGTTCTCCAGTCCTTACCTGCTGATAGCTCAAACTTCTTCAGTCTCTAGTATCATGTATGGTCTGTACAGAACCTCTTTCCTTCAAGAAACCAGAAATGGGTGGTAGAGTATGTACTTAGAAGTAATTATTTCGATTTCAATTCCTACCATCTCCAGTTAACCTAATCAAGGAGCAGATGGAATGGAAGATTTCCTATTCCTCAACTTCCAGCTTGTTGACATTCATATCTTCTAGAATTTCTATCAACCTTCGGTCTTCTCCACCACCATGTCTGTGCCTGCAGTGTTTGTGAAATTTCCTTCCCACTTAAATTGACCATGCTCCTTTTTCTTGCACACACTGGATACTTACTACTCTATTCCCTGAGTTCCTGTAATGTTCAAATATCCTCTATATTTGTTCAAATATCCTTTTTGAGAACACCAGAAAAAGAAGCACCACACGTACAACTTTGTACACACATACACAGGAAATAGAAAGAAATAGAGATGGGCAAATTTGACACCCAGTTACTCCCTCCCCCATTTTAAGTTTTCCAAGTCTTCCACTAGTCTCCATACCATTTGTTTCTATTTGATCCAGCATTAAAAAAAGTTTAATGCCAAATAATATATTTTTAATACAAAAACTACCCATACAAACTCTTCTATGAACTCCTAATGTATGCATTTTTTGCAAGCAGTTTTCCTCTGTGTGATGTTTTATATGCATTTTCCCTAATATATGTCCTTTTTTGCATACACACATTTTATAAGCAGCTTTTGAGTTACCAACCTGCATGACCTCTAGAATCATCTAGGGTGGTCCTACTGTGAATGATATGAATGGTGGATTGTCATTCTGCAATCACCCACAGACAGGCCTTCTTGGTGGTGGCACCTGCTTTGTGGTATTGTATTGTCTTCCATTACAGTAAGACAGTGTTGTCCAAACTTGGCCACTTTAAGATGAGTGGACTTCAACTCCCAGAATTCCCCAGCCAGCATGAGTTCTCAACTCCCAGAATTCCCCAGCCAGGCACTCATCTTAAAGTGGCCAAGTTTGAACAACACTGCAGTAGGAGAACACTTACTATTAATTGTTTTGGCGATTACTGAAGACTCATCTTGTAACCCATGTCTACCCTCTATTAACTTTTTCTCCCACCAATTTTTAAAGTTGAGATCTTACATTAGCTGTCTTGTCTTGTTCTTGGTTAAAAAAAATATGGGTTTTAACATTGATTGTAGACTGGGAAGGGGTATATAAATACTTAAAGAACTATCAGTGTGTCCGCACATAACCTGACTTGGATTCACTTAAAAGCATCAGAAAAAGTCTAGAAAACAGCACAACTGAGGGTATGCCGAAACCAGCCTGCCACATAGCTTCATTAATCAGCTCCCAAAGGTGTTTGGACTAAGACATTTTTCCAACTTCAAGAACATTTTAATTAAACTTTCCCCTTCTCTCCCTCAACCTTTCTTATTCTGGCTGCCAACTGAGAGACTTTTCATAACTAAAGCTAAGATTGCCTTGCACAGCCTGATCCTGTGCATGCTTATTCACAAGCGAGCATTGCCAAATTTAAAATCTTGCATGTATTTTCAAGTCTTCTGAAAAATCTCTCCTCTCCTCTTTTCTGTACTTTGCATTATGAGGGTTCATCAATAACTCTTTTTTTGTTTGTTTCATTTTAAGAATGCAGTCCTCTATATAATTGGGAGCTAGACCGACCAAACTCCTTGGAAATGAAGTAAGGACACATGGAATTGTTCAGATATTACTAGACTTCTGTGAATGTAGATGTTTCCCCCTGAAGTTGGCCTGTTTTGTCCAACAGTGAAATCCCAATGCAGCCCCACAAGGATCTGGCTACTTTGTTCATCAGTGCCCATATTTGCTCTCCAGTGAAACTGACTAGGTTGGGTGAAAAAAGCCTTGTTACTTTGAGCACAACATAATGAAATGGGGCAGGAGAGAATAGCACGTGTGAACGTGCTAATAATTTCTAATATTCTCAGTTGCATCAGACTGCTGAAGAGGCAGTGTCCATATATCAAGAGATCAATGATGCTTTCTCTCTAAACTTCACACTAAGCTATGTTTCATGCAAACTTCTAAATGCCATTTTTATCAGCTTTTCTGCAGGATTGTAGAGTAAGGTAACCTCTCCTTCAATGCATTTCAATATTGTATACAATCCAGGGCGGGCTTGAAGATCCCAAACTGCATTACAAGGCTACAAAGTACCCATACAATTCACTGGACCTTACGTCTGAGTAGTTATTACTGAAGTAACTGGCACATACAAATTTTGCCATATTCCCTGTTAAGGGTTGGGCCTTAGTGTAGATTCCACCACTTGAGTAGCAAAAAAAAGTTAACTTGGATTTGAATGTCCTTTCTAAATAATATTTAGGATTAAAATAGTGAGATCACTTCCATCTTTACCATCTTGAAGGTAGGCTAAAGGTCTTATTTTTTTAAATTCACAATGTTTTGATTGCTTCTCAGCAGAAAGATTTTAGGAGTAAAGTTAGCTCTTTGCTGACTGCTTGTCTTTGCTCTGCCTCCTTTGGCTCAGAAAGATTTGAAAAGTATTTTAGTGTCTGCACTGGGCTGAAATCTTAAATGAAACTGTGGACTTGATTTGCAATGGCTTTCAAATGATGCAAATAATGTTCATCCATAATGATGTTGTTGTTTGAAGTGGGGAGAAGGAAAGAAAACATTCAATTTGAATTTGATTTTTAGCCAGTATCAGGGCAATCTGTGGATCTGTGGCTTCTCTTGCAGAACCAGAAATCTGCCCACAAAAGCTGTTCTTAAAATGAATAAGTTTTTCCCCCAAGTAAAGATTTTTGAACTTGGTGGTAGGAAATCGTTCTGAATTGCATATGGAAAGTTTAGCAGCAACACCGTACACTGAAAAGCATGCATCCTCCAGCAATTAAAATATAAATATATCAATAGAGCAACACAAATAGTGTTGCAGTCTGTGACTTGCAATTCAAAACACACCAGTTTAATAAAACAAAGTTGGCCTCAACCATTTTTTCTTAATCCACATCCCTAAAGCCAGCAGAGATAACTCACCAAGACTCGTCCAGCTTGAACTCCCATTCCAAAAGAGCGTGCCAGACGGAAGGCCATCTCATTCCATTGTCTTTAAAGTGCTAACATTATTTTCCAACAGGGAGCTGGAAAAAATAAAAGAAAAAAGGCCATACTGCACCAACAGTAATTCCCAGGAATTTTTGTAGTTGTTATTTGCTTGCTAGATTAAACAAAGGACATCCCAAAGTCCAGGGATCCAGAGATATTTTCTGGGGAGTCTAAAAAGTTTTGACTTGCATCCATAAAAATCTTGGCTGGTGAGGAGACACAAATGCAGTTGGGAAGGGAAGTCCACCCATGTGAGCTGAAGGAGGGGGAGGAAAAGGCCACGCACTGGACACCCCTCAGACTGACAGATTTCAGGAAATCCAAACATTTAAACAGGAAATCTGAATACTAGATAAACATTCTATAATCTCCAGTGTTAGCTTGCAGCTCTGCTGGTTAACCCTTCCACTGCTCTGGGCTGGATATGAAACTCAGCCAGAGGTGCTTTGTTGTAACTGGATCTCTTTAACAGTTCCCTCTATGCTTCCATGTGCCAACAGCAAGATCCTGCTCTGAACGCATTTCTCCCTTCCCTACCCCCATTTTTTAAAATATACTAGCATCTGGCCAGGTTTAATTTCTCTCTCGCTTTTTTTTTTTAATGTCTGAATCCCTACACAGCAAAGCTTCAGGGAAAAGGCATGGAAACATGGTGGGTAATACTTTCCGCCAGACAGGCATATCTATAATGCCTCTTTGATCAGCATTAGAAGAGGAAAATGATATCGGGTGTCTTCCATAGGTCCACTTGGTCTCTCCAGAAGCCCCTGGTTCTTTCTGCTCATGCATCTAATTGCCCCACTTTGTTGGGTCTCTTCCCTCCCGCCACCGCTTCACGTCTGCTGGTTTTATATCTCAACTGCGCAGCTAGAAAGGTTAATTTCAAGAAGTTATCTGTAGATTAATTTTATTATCTTTCTGGTTCTCTGTGCTGCATTAAAAGAGTCAAAGAAAGAAGAAAAAGAAAGAAGAAAAATGGCACTACTATAATAACTTTTTGCAGCCCAATCTAGTAGACCTAATTTTATATATGTGGTATAATGATATATAGCATATTAAAAAGCAGAGACATCACCTTGCCGACAAAGATCCGCATAGTCAAAGCCATGGTTTTTCCAGTAGTAATGTATGGCTGTGAGAGCTGGACCATAAAAAAGGCCGAGC